CAAGATCCGTACCAAAACCAAGCTTCCATCTCCCTTATTGGCAGCCCGATCGCCGTGCTTCGATTTTTTAGCGCGAACATTGAGATCTTTCCGCGGCGTCGTCGTTGTCGTCGTGGATGTCGCGGTTGTGGCAGCTGCTTTCGCAGGAGCTTTGTGTTTCTCGATGTTGGCAGGCTTCGATGCTGCGACCGACACCTTGTCGGCTTTGACCTCGATGGAATCACTGGGTTCTGGCTGGGGCTCTGGGTTGACAAATGTCTGTTGGGTAAGAGGAAGCCTCTGGCGCTTGGCCTTGGGCTGTTGCGCAATATTCTCAGAGCTCAGTGGTCGCTGTCGTCGCCGTGAACGGGTGGCGGTGGCAGGGCCGCCATCGCGTACGGACGGTGAAAACATGGTGAACCAGTGTCAGGCCGAGATACAGGTGGGCGAATGAAGCGGGAAAATGTAGTCGGCTGGTGATGAAAGGTCGGGACGGGCAGCGCGCTGGGCTGGGTCGCGACGATGAATGAACAAGGAAAATCGGGTCGTTTCGATGATGGTTGGAGGTGGCGATTAGGGAGTGGTGTTGATGATGCAGCTAGGCATTTCGCTGCACCCACGATGATGATGGGCAGTGATGGCGATTGAGAGGGCGATGGAAGAGTCGAAAAGATCAAGGCGAGTCGCAGTGGGGAGGAAAACTCAAAGGATGATGCATCCACCTGCGAGGACTAGGCAAGCAGGCCCAATGTGTGTTCGCCAGGTATTGGTCCAGCCCAGATGGAGATGGCTTTTTGTTGGACAGAAAAACAAAGGGAATCCAAAGCGGCAGTACCATGCAGGTTGCCCCCAAGCTTGGTGACCGCCCTGTCACTGACCACGCTGCCCGGGGCCTGATTGGCCAGCCGCCGGAGCTGCAGGTCCCACCCGCCACGAGCAACGAGGCACCGGCCAGAGGAAAAGTTCGTTGGTTGGAGGAGCAGCAGGCGCCTGCGACTTAGTCAGCCGCCCAGCACAGCGCTGGCCGTCGCACATCGACCTATCGCCCCGGCCAAGGCGACCCTGTCTGCAGACAACAGCTGCTCCTCTGCCCAATGCTGCTCTGAGCGCTGGGCAGCATTCAATCGAAATGGGATCTCGGTTTACACACCAAGCTTAGTACATATGTAGGCAGGGCGCTATGATTTCGGTCTTCACACTTGGTGGCTAGCACGGCCATTACACACTCACTTAGCCACCGCTTATTGTCTCCCTACACCCATTACGCTTATACTTCTATTTACAGTATAAGTCGGCCGCATTGGCGATCGATTCCTTGTGTGTGGGCTGCAATTGCGGCGGGAACAAAAGGAAAGGGAAAGAGGTCGCAGGACAATCACTTAAATCCTTTGTACAATCGCACCTCTGTCCTCATCATGCAGTTCTCATCAAAGAAAAAAGGTTGAAAGCATATATTAGGACTCGGCGGTGCGGTTGTTTGTCTTCCCTCAGCCACGGCATTGTGATGTAAAGCCAATTGAGAGGACCTATAACCAATTATAAACTCGACGTCGCAAGCAGCCCTCTAGTTTGATATCTATCCGTGTTCCCCAAATTACCAATGCTCGGGTAAATCACATTTGTCCAGACAGGCGCGAGGAATAATCGAAGATATCACGGACCCGATTCCGAGAGGTATCCACTCCAGCACCCAGATCGGCCCCTCACGCTTGACATCGGTTTTTGTCTTTCAACATTCTTCTCCAAGATGTCTACCTACCCTAGCGAAATTTGATGATCTTCTGTACATTCAATCCCTTTCCAGAGCATATAAAACACATTTTTAAAAACCCATCTTCAACGGATTGTATCATGAGTGCGCTATTCCGCGCAATCAACTCGATCTGATGGCATGCCGGCAACCGTCGACGCCACCGAGCTCTCTCTGCCCACGGCCACTTAGATACCACCTTTTCTACATCACATGAGAAATATTTCAGCATGCTTCATCCTACCATGAGGCGGTTCTCTACCGCCGTGACCATCACGGATCCCTTGGTCAAGTATCAAACCGCAGTCGCCATGGGATTGTATTCGCCAGATCCCGCTCAGCATCGGCTAGCCCATCATTTACAGAAGCTGTACCGCCGGATCAAAGACTATCGTCCGCAGTCAGAGTATCGTGAGCGTCTCAACCAGGTCGCGCAATTGACCAACCCCAAGCCACCCCCAGACGCTGACACGTCCGGGATGCTTGCACTCAGGAACCATCCCATATGGCGCAACCCTCTCTTCAAGCATCTGTTAACCAGCCCCGAGGGAAGAGAAAGCCTAGCTCTGACGAGGAAACTGACAAGCCATGAGGCTGCCATTGATATTGATTCGCCAAAAGGCCTGTTTCTCTCGGGGGAGGTTGGCACGGGGAAATCCATGCTGCTGGACCTGCTGGCCGAGGGCCTGCCCACAGAGCGGAAGAAACGATGGCACTTCAACACTTTCATGCTATATGTATTCTCGCGGCTTGAGACTTTTCGGAAAGCCAATCCTGGAACGGCCACAGATGGAGATTCAGAGCATTCCTTGTTATGGATGGCCAAGACCTTGGTTGAGGAATCTCCCATCCTATTTCTCGATGAGTTCCAGCTACCAGATCGAGCAGCAAGCAAGCTCCTCAGTCACCTCTTCATTGCATTCTTCCAACTTGGTGGTGTTCTCATTGCATCGTCCAACAGAATGCCTGAAGAGCTTCAGAAAGCCATCGGAGTAGATTACACCCCCACACCTTCACAAGGGCTGATACGGAAAATCTTTGGTCTTGGTTCAGCGGGAAAAGGGGAGTTATATGGCGCCAGTAGTGACTTTGCCAACTTTCTCGAGGTGTTGAAAGCAAGGTGCGACTTCTGGCAGATGGAGGGGGCTCAAGACTGGCGACGAAAAGAAGAGGTCACCGAGAAGGCGACAGTCGCACCCAGCAGTGGTCCCATCTCCGAGGCTCCATACACATCTACATCTGCACCAGAAGAGCCTTCAGAAGAGGAAAGTGTCCAGCGGAAGAAACCCCATCATTATCACTTAACAGAGGACAATGAGGGGGCATGGAAACAACGGATCCAAGAAGCCGTCGGCTTGTCCGGATCTGCACCGATTCCATGGTCGGTCTCGTCTTTAGTTGTCTACGGCCGCAAGGTCCAAACACCACAGCACTACAAAGGCTTTGTGTTTTGGGAGTTCGACAGCCTGGTTGAATCCTTCGGGCCGGCCGATTATATCACAATGGCGTCCACGTATCACACATTCGTCATAGACAACGTCCCTATCCTGACGATAAGCAAGAAAAACGAGGCAAGGCGCTTCATCACCCTCCTAGATGCGCTGTACGAAGCCAGGTGCAAACTCATCCTGCGAGCTAGGAACCCCCCCGATGACCTCTTCTTCCCTGAGCGACGTCGACGGTCCGCGGGCGCCACAGGTCAGGAGAATGTTGTAGACGACGACGACGACGCCACATATTCGGAGACTGTTGCAGAGGTATATCAAGACCAAGTCTCTCCCTTTCGACCAAACGTGGCATACTACGATACACAATCGTCAACAGCCAAATATAACCCAGACCAAGACTCCGACTTTGGTCTTCAGTCCAAACCAGTCAACTTCACCAATACGACGGCTTTCACTGGGGAGGATGAGCGGTTCGCGTACAAGCGAGCCATCTCGCGACTCTGGGAGCTATGCAGCTCCCAGTGGCATTCAAGGACTGGAGACTGGTGGCAACCTCTGCCCCTAGAAGCAAGACACTGGGAGGGCGGGCAACCTTCGCAGCCTCAGAAATTCACAATATCTCCTCGCACACCCCACGCCGGCGAAGGAATGGGCCAGAGCGTGGAAATAGACGATGTAGCAGGCCTCTCAAAATGGAGGGTAGAAGAGCTCCAGAACCAAGATCGAAAGTAGATATTTACATACCCATGTAGTCCTCTAACGAGCAGTCGAACATAGTAAACAAATCAAGCACTAGGATCTCCTCCCAGCATATGAATTCTAATAGCATTCGATTTGCAGTCATTTTCCATGCCGGATATCGCTCTAATGTAAACCCCAAAACTCCTCGACGCCATGTATGCATGCACACCAAAAGCTTCCCAAGTTTGCCCGTGACCCAGGACAAGTTCACACACCGCCTCACAGGTTCACCACGCCAGGGGTCCAGCCATCCCCGATCCTCTTCATGTCGTCCACGAACTTCCTGCTCGTGATCTTCTTCCCCCCGTTGCCCCCCAGCGGCGCGTGCTCGTCCGGGCTGTAGAAGGGGTTCTGCAGCAGCCGCACGTAGGCGTTCTGCATGGCGCGGAACACGGGCTTGAGCTCCGCGTCCCGCAGGCCCTGCTTCGACGACGCGGCCGCCGAGTCCACGCGGCGGCCTCGCATGTCCACGACGCACACGAAGCGGACCCCCGTGTTGGTCTCGTAGCCGTAGGCGGCGAGGCGGTCGTCGACGGCCTGCAGCAGCCCGTACTCGCCCGAGAGCCCGCCCCCCGATATGGCGTTGTGTCTGGTGCGGAGCTCGAACACGTCGATCGTGGAGGAGAGGATGAGGGAGAACTGGAGCGGGGTGCGGATCGGTGCGAAGTTGTTGGTTATCGGGTCCTGCGACGGGAAGATGGAGATGTGCATGGGGTTGTTCTGGAAACTTGGTGAGCCTGGAGCGGGAAAAAAGAGGGCGTGGAAGGTTTGGGGGAGCTCACGTTTCGTCCAATGACGCCTAAACAGGCGATTGAGGGTATTGCCGTCGTCATGGTGTCTGCTGGCAATCCTATACGATCGCGGGAGTGTATGAGGTTGACAGCGTGGAGGAGACGACCAGGAAGCTTTGGCTGTCACCTATTCTGGGGACTGGGAGTGGAAACCCCACCAACCAACTTACACCACCCACGCCCACAATGAATTCACACGCGACACTACTCTGAACATGCATGGCAAGTATCTTTTACTGTTTTGAATTCAAACAGAGCTAAAAATGAGAACTCTAACTTCCGTGTTCTGAATTAAATGGAATCACGTCCATCCCAAGGCTCAAATCCACCTCGCAGTCTCTCGTGCTCGGCCTTCAGCTTCAGCTTCCGCGTTCGTTCCCGCTCCTGTTCCTGCTCCTTCCGCTCTGCCTCTCTCCCGTCCTCGTCTTTGATATTATTCGTCTCTTCCAGCCCTCTCAGAACTTCCTCGATCTCCGAAGGGTCAGTGATGGCCCACACGCCGCCCCCCTTCACCATGTCCTTTCCTCTCATGCCGACCTCCTTGCCGACGAGGTTGCGCCCGACATAGCCCGGCCCAATCCCCACCCAGCGTCGAATCTTCACTTCCTGGTCGAGATACCGTATGCTATCCCACCACTGCACGGTCTCGAGGCAGCTGCGGGCGAGCAGGTCCTTCAGCTGCTCCTTGCTCTGAAACTCTCGCGCATTGACGTTACTAATACAAGGCAGCCGCCCAGGAAAGGTAATGATATCTTCATCCTCCCTCCCCGGCGTCCTGCTCTTCTGGCTCAGCAAATTGTGCATGACCGAGACCGCCGGCTTCATGATGGGGCTGTGAAATGGGCTGTCGCTGTTCAGGCGCACCGCCCGGGGGTCGTGGCCCAGGAACTGCCGCACATGCGCAATCAGGGTCCGGATCCGCTCGATATTGCCGCTGAGGACGATCTGGTTCTGACTGTTGATGTTGGCAATCGATACTTGCTGAATTGGGGGTAAGTCTTCCCTGGTCGAGGCCTCGTCCCCGGCCCTGGTAGGTCCCACGAAACCCTGGATCGTCTTTATCAGGCTCTTCAGATAGGGCGGCTCGGTTATCACTGCTATCATCCCGTATTCGCCGCCGTACTCCTTCACTGCTCGCCGGGTGGCTTCCGACATGGCTCTGGCGCGCATGTGTACCAGGTAAAGGCTGTCTTCGAAGGAGATGTAGCCTCCGGCGATGAGCGCCGCGAATTCTCCCAGGGAATGGCCGAGTGTGAAATCGAACTGCTCCTCGACCTTGAAGTTGAATTCCCGTTCGAGGATGCGCAGGATAAGGATGGAAGTGGCCATGATGGCGGGCTGTGAGTTTGTCGTCTCAGTCAAAGTCCGGGATGGCCCATGCTGGATGATGTCTGTGAGTTTGTACCCGAGGGTGTGGTCTATCTCTTGAATAATCTGGGACGCCGTCGACGGGAAAGCCTCAACCCACGGGCTGAGCATGCCCACTCGCTGCACGCCGTGGCCTGCCAGCGGATGTTAGCGACACGATCCATCACCACGCGACCAAGTTCCAATTGGGCCGGGCCGATGGAGTAAACCAACCTGGAAAGAAGATGGCCGTCTTGGGGCGCTTGGATTGTGTCGAAATCCATCGTCGCCTGCTCCATACAGGTGCACCTTGGGCGCCTAGGGTGAGGCCTTCGGGTCGTCGGTATCGAGGTGGCAGGAGCTGTGAGCCTCGCACGAGTCCACGACTGGAGCTCTGAGCACACCCACTGCACGCGTACTTGATGGTCGCAGTCCGCATCATGGCCGATCAGCCGCTAACTGGGGAGACAGGGCCGCCAAAGCGAGGTATTATTCATTATGCCGCATCCGTCTGATGGGGGGAAACTCAATGGAGGGAAGGGAGTCTACGGGTAGTGGGATCAAGATGCAGGGCTGGTTGCCGTTGGGGGGGTCGGATTATGTGACGTCGGAGGGGAGACGGAAATGCGCACGGCGCCTCGGGTTAATCATCTCGCCCAGAATTGCTGTGTTGAGACACAAACCGCAAAAGCCGCGCCAATTAGACTCCGTATAGCCGAGACCAACCAACCAGCTCGCGGGCGACCGACCCCATGGGACAGCAGTTTATAGGGCAATCCCGCCCGGAATCCCACGAGAATGGAGATAGAGTGGGCTGAATGGGGGTCGTAAGTTGGGGTTGGGTGGATGTCGTCTTCCCCTGGTCGAAATTCTTTCTTCCTGATTTCGACTCCTTGCTTGTTTGCCTTCCGATCACACAGCATACTCGGACCATCTTGTCAATTTCCACGTCTGCTAGATTTTTTATGATTTTTTTTTCTCTTATTCATGATTAATGCTGCATTACGTATTTTCAACAGCGTGCTTCCACCCCATCCTTGCTCACTGTCAGATACTTGACACCCTTGTACGGTTTGACACTTTCACCCAATCCCCTACTTTTCCGAGTATCTAGCACAATGCTCTCCACCTTAAGGCCGCTTGCCAGCCAGCCCTTGACAGAGAAGCTCACTGAGGCTGATGTCGGCATCAGAATCTTGTTCTGTGCGACCTTCTTCGCATCCTTCTCCTTGTCATCGACCTTCGGCTCAGGCTCAGCCTTTGCTGAGGATGTACTCTGATAAGGTTCGTTGTAGGGGAAATCGGTACTGAACCCGAGGCCGCCAGCATCAGATTCATTATCTTCCTCCTCAGTAAGGGGGCCAACCACAGTGCATCGCAGCCCGAAGTAGGATGTAGGGCCAGACATCTCCTTTGCGGGGATGTGCCATTCCAGAACCCTGTCTCCTGGGTTGAAGCTCGCATCACCTTTGCTGGGGCGAACCTCTGATAAATTCCTCACCCCTGCGGGTAATGGTACCGTGACTGTGAGGTCGTCGAGTAGTGGTGAGGCGGCCGTTCCTGCTTGAGGTCCAGCGCCCAGTCCAGCGCCCAGTCCAGCGCCCAGTCGTCCAGGTCCTCCTCTTCCCAGTTGACTCCCTATGCCCGAGGTTGATGTTCCAAATACTTTGTGAGCCTGTAGTCGGATCTCAAAATCGGCTCCTGTAGCACCAAGTCCAGATTTCACCTCCAGGCTGACCGGCAGCTTGAGATTATTGGAAACGTTTCCGCTCTTTCCGCCAGTGAACGGGAGCAAATCCACTTCGTAGCCCGCTAGGATAAACCGTCCATCTGGTGGTATGAAACTCAGCTCGCCAGGCCGTTCTCTCCACCTGTTCAGCCGCACGCAAGGGTGAAATACTGGGAGTTCGATGATGCCGCCGATATTGTGCTTCCCAGAAGGGCTGGTCAGGGTGAGAGTGATGTCGGGCACTCCAGAGACTTTCGAGGTGAAAGCAATCGTGCCGTTTGCGAAAGCAGAAATCGGTCTGCCTGAGGGCGCGAGAGTGACCGACAGTGTCTCGACAACGTCAGCGTACATCTCGTTGGACGTGTGGCGCACATTTGGTCGCCTCCACGGCAATGCCGGTGCACTGTTGGAGGAGAATGGAGACTCGATCGCGCTCGAAGGTGAAGGGGAGGGTGATTTTCTTTGCTTCCTGTCAGCCTACACGCCGCACATATTGGAAGGAGAGAGCGAGCCATACCCGGGAAGATTGATGCTTCCAAGCAGCTTGCCCATCCACCCTTCGATTTCGACCAGTTCCCGGAGCGCATTGGGCTCCGTCGTATTAATCATGCCTGCATCGCAGACTTCAGAAAGAATCTGAGCCACCACATCGTAGCTGTTCTCGATGTTGACGGCGAGCAGGGGGGCACCAAGGAAGTCTTCCAGCGCATCTATCACTCGATGCATGAATTCCAGAACCAGGAGGGGCTCGATCTCGGAGGATGCTGTTACAAGACAGAGTAGGTTCGCATGCGTCAAGCTAAAGAGAAGCGTAGGCGGGTTGGTGTTAGGGAGGTATATCAGATTCGGTTGGGGGGCCGGCTGCTCTAGGTAGAGAGACAGTATCGAGTTGGCGGAGAGTGGCCGCCCCGTGTAGGTATGTGAGAGGAGGACATTTCTGAGATGATCAGCTTGGGAGGCTTGAAAACGGCGCAATATTAGGAAAAAAGCGATCTGGCCTACCTATGATCGTCATAGAGGTACAGTGCCTCGATAACGCCGTTCATCGTGACGCTTGTCCAGTCACGGAGTGTGTAAATCAATGGAGCTCACCAATAACTCTCGCAGCGGAATACCTGGCTTAGTCACCCCCCACCATATTTCGTCATTAGCGAATGCATGCAAGGCGCGGGAGCTATGATGATGACTCAGCAAAGGCATCTCCTTAGCTCCAGTGGAGCCTGAAGGAATCACTTGCTTAAACCAGCATTTCCTCACCAGCTTCATATTGTCCAGTGGCGTGGTAGGCTTGAAGATGGCAGGTGGCAGCATTCCTACTCTCCATTCTCTGGAGAAGCCAGAAAACTTCAAGGATGTCCTTCGACGGGATCAAGGCGACGACTGTTTGCCTTGCAGGCTCATAGGTCGGTAGCTCCCCAGCCATATCATTTGCAAGCATCCAGGCCTCCAGGATCTTTTTACTTACTCGGGCACAATATCCAGGAAGCGGAGCTTTCTTTGGTCTAGCAGGCTACAGCTATTTTTCAGGCATGTCACAGCTCCAAAAGCAACAGGCTCAAATCCTCCAGAGCAAGTCGATATTTGGGATGCGCAGCCGCAAGGCCGGCATTGCCTCTATTTCCTTTGGCCTGGCTTGGATGGGACTATGGAGACTCATGAACTAAGCGTCCAATACCCTTTGGACTCCATATTCCACGAACTCGAATTATCACAACGGAACGACGTCGATACCTCGCTTTACCATACAGCGTCAAACTCACTCCATCAACGAAACCCAGCTCACCCCGAGTTGCAGTCCGTCATGGACTGCTGTACAACTCTATGTATTATCAATGTATAATGTTGTCTAGCATTTGATTCCATGTTTATTAGACGGGCGTTTGGGTTGTTCGGATACAACGTGAAAATTAATGAACACCTCATACCCAACGACCTTTTGCTTCGTTGAAAGAACTTGCGAATGGTATTAAATGCAACCTATAACTATTGGCCCAGTCTGCCTTTCTACTATGTGCGGGTGGTGGCCGTATCAAACTCAGGCTTACACCGAAGCACCTTTCAGCAATGATTCCACATTCGTATGCTCCATCCCAATATTTCAACTCAGAACTAACACCTTTAGTTCTGAATAAGTGTTCAGTGAGTAGACTTGGGATTAAAAACGCACATATCATTGAGCGAAGTATACCATTTGCCTTTGTTACCAAGTTCAAGAGTTGGCGACTTCTAAGCATTCATGATACCTACCTCATCTAAGAAGAAACTCGTGCGGATAGCTATAATATCTGGTCTGTATATTTAGCATGAGTCTGAAATTATTCCAAGGAGGCCTTTGTAAAAATAACATAGGGCTTCCCTCTGCCCTTAGCATTGCTTTGTTGACTTTGAATTCTTGATTCGATCTACCCCCACTTGCCTAATCTGGGCCCTTCAGGCAAGAGACCTTTGAAGCTGGATCATGAGCAACCACCAGAGTCATGATTAAACACTTGTTATCCCATGGTATTAGTATTTCTCTACAAAAGAATATATGCGCTTCACATGAGACATTTTCATCTATAGAACCCATGCTGTTCCTGGCATAAACTTATTAGTAGAGTGGTACATTTTGTCTCGACCGGGGAGGTACAGGGTAGGTGAATTTGTAGGCTATATTGGTGAGTTTTGACAGTATCTCCAACAGCAAAAACTGGGTAAAAATCTACACGGACTTCACTCACTCACCACCAACCCACTAAGCAACCGCCTCTTCGCAGCCTAAAGGATCAAATCTAGACCCCCAATCCATCTAGGTGTATAGAGAAAACCAAAAAGGAGGGAAAATTAGAAGGAGGTGTAAAGGACGAGGAGCCACCGGGACGGCGCTTTTCTGATTTCATCCAACCGCTCTTCTTATTCAGACATCACAATGCCCATCACCATTCTCGCCCCACGGCCTGCGCCTCAACGGCCACTGTCTGGGCCTGCAGTCTCAGGCTTAAATTCAGACTCGGACTCAGAAATGGACAGCGACAGCGGAGGTGTTCAGATACGTTCTGCTAAGAGGCGGAGAGCGAGCGCTGATGAGGATGAGGGCGATGAGATTCTCACCCCAGGCACAATTATCACTTCTAACCCTCAATGGATGCGGTACGTCTTCTCTCTCCACCAAATTGCCTTTTATATAGCAACTTCTATTTTGGCTACAAATACAAGTGCCGTTTGCTAACATGGGAAATCCCTTACCTCAGTGGTCATGGCACATATGTTCTCCCCAACACCACGTCCATCACCTCATCACTAGCAGGTACTCTCACAAAGACGAACAAGCTCCTCTCCGTGCGGCCCCTGCGCGCCCGCTACACCCCGGAGATCGGCGACCTCGTCGTCGGCCGCATCGTCGAGGTCCAGGCCAAGCGCTGGCGCGTCGACGTCGCCGCCTCCCAGCTCGCCGTCCTCCAGATCTCGGCCATCAACCTCCCCGGCGGCATCCTGCGCAAGCGCACCGAGACGGACGAGCTGCAGATCCGCAGCTTCTTCGCCGAGGGCGACCTCGTCGTCGCCGAGATCCAGCAGCTGCACCAGGACGGCGCCGCCAGCCTGCACACCCGCAGCCTCAAGTACGGGAAGCTGCGCAACGGCGTCTTCGTCTCCGTCAGCGGCACCGGCGGCGGCTCCGGCGTCGTGCGCTCCAAGCGCCAGGTCTGGACGCTGGAGACGGCCAACGCGGGGGGCAACGTGGGCGTCCTGCTCGGGGTGAACGGGTACATCTGGATCAGCAAGCACATTGAGAGCGATGTTGCCGCCGAGGCCGCCGGCATCAACCGCATGGAGGAGAGCGTGAGCAGCAAGGTGTACTCGAGCCAGAACGACGACATTGAGCCCGCGACGATGCGAGAGATTGCCCGCATGAAGAGCGTCATTCTCGCGTTGGTTGAGCACGGGCTGAAGGTGGATGAAGACACGGTCACACGGGGATACCACGAAGCCGTTGAATTGGGACGGGAGACCCCAGATGATGATCTATATCTTGGTGGTGAGAAGGGGAAGAGGTTAGCAGCTACATTGACTGGCCGGTAATAGAGTCGAACCCGGTCTTTTTCACTTCTTAGTTGCACATTGGTCATCTTCCAGTTCAAAAAGCTATTCTCGCTGATAATGATACTCGGCGTCAAGATAGCCACCTTTCGAGATTTCGAATATATCACTTAACCCTGACAAAAGAAAAAGAAAAACTTGAGCGTCCGCTGCCGCTAACAGTGATACTACAATCTCCCATATGATACATACCACCAGTGCAAATATCCTCTCATTACCCAGCCCTCCCTCCACCGTCCCAGACGGATATACATGAAATGAACGTGCTTGTTTCGTAAAAAATCCTACCGATCAACCAGCGCAGTGGCCGACGAATTCCCATTTTTCTGATTCTGCAAAGCAAACTTATCGTCTACAGGCCTAGAGACGATCTCTTCAGCCCCAAAGAAATAGCAAGAGTGATTAGGAGTCCCCACCTCAAAACAGCGCTTTTAGCACTACTACCACCAAGGCCGAACACGAAACCGATCCAATAACCCAGACCCTTGGTGACGTTTCCATCGCGGTCAAAGTTTGGCTTCGCGGTGGTCATCCCCTTGAAGCGCTTCAGCTCGCTGTTGGAGTAGGGCATGTAGCGAACCCGGAGGAACGCGTCTACCCACGCGGGGACCTGGGCAATCGCCCGCTGATGGCTGAAGGCCTTGAAGGAGTAGTAGCCGTGGTAGCTACCCGTCCCCGAGGAACCCACGCCGCCAAAGGGTGCCTGGCCCACGGACGAGTGTGTATAGCCGTCATTGGTTGTTGCGCCTCCGGAGGTGACGCTGGTCAGCACTGTTGGTCCCGTCACGGATTAGCTACTGGCCTCATTATAACGGTTCTTCAAGACGTGTGTACTTACCCTTCGCATTCTCTGCGTCACTGCCGAAAGTGTAGAGTGATAATGGGGTGCGGTCAACCTTATTTGCAAGGTCAATTGCCTGGTCGACCGAGTCAACGGGGAAAATAGACCAGATTGGACCGAATGTCTCTTCAGTGATCAAAATGTCATTAGGATCCTCGACCAACACCACTGTGGGCTCAAAGAAGAGGTCGGATTCGTCCATGGAGCCGCCCAGGACAATCTTGCCTCCACTGGAGTCGAGCATCTTCTTCAAGCGATCAAAGCTGGACTTGTTGTTAATGCGGGCATAGTCGGGGCTCGCCCTGGCTCCTTGTGGCATAAAGTCCTTGTAGCTCTTCTTCAACTCCTCGATGAACTGTGGCACGACAGTCCTATCTACAAGGGCGTAGTTTTGAGAGACGCAGACCTGGCCGGCATTGTGCGTCTTGGCCCAAAGGAGTCGTCGAGCGGCCAGCTTCAGGTTGGCATTCTTGGAGATGAAGGCGGGATTTTGCCCTCCCAGCTCGAGTAGGACGGGAGTCAGAGTCTCGGCAGCCTTCTTGGCGATGATGGTTCCAACCTTCTTGCTTCCGGTGAAGCAGATCTTGTCATACTTTTGGTTGAGAATCTCCTGCGTGAGGGCCAAAGAGCCATTCACACATCGATAGCAGTCGGTGTCCAGGTACTCTTCAATGAGTTTGGTTAGTACCATGGCGGTGTTTGGCGCGTTCTCGGACGGCTTCAACAGGACAGCATTTCCAGCACCGATGGCGCCGATCATGGGGGTAATGGAGAGCTGGACAGGGAAGTTGAAGGCTCCCATGACCAGGACAACACCCAGCGGTTCGCTCCTGATGCGAGGCTTGACCACACTCATAGTAAGGGGGGTATTCACGACCTTCTCGTCCTTGGCCCATTTCTCCAGATGGTTGATGAAGTCCATGCACTCATTAACAGCCCAGCCGATGTCACTCAGGGCAGCCTCATGAGGAACTTTGCCAATGTCCTTGATGAGGGCTTCTTCCAGGAGTGGGGTATAGTCAATAAGGCCCCAGTAGAGCTTTCGAAGCTGCTTGAGGCGATATTGGATGTCCTTGGTGCGGTTTGTCATGTACGTGGCCCGTAAAACACGAACATCCTCAGAGATGCTGGCGAGGGATGACTCCTGAAAGGGAGGGATAGAGGTAGTTTTGGGAGCCATTATGGAGTCAATCAATTATGGTAGAAGAGAGATGTTCTGATGAAATGCGATGCGGTATGGAAGACGGCGCAGACTGGGGTTATTCAACTGCAGGGAGTAGACCCAGATCTCTTAGTGGCGGGACAACTGACAGGCCGACGGACAAAAACGTGGAAGACAGTAGCGTCGCTTCTACGGAAGGATTCCGTGACTGGGCCTTGGAAGGGCGACTTGAGGGTGGAAGCCGTGAAATAGACCTTAAATAGAACAGAGGCCTTCCTAGTAAGGATTGAAGAAAAGGTAAAAAGAGGACGAGGGCACGGACTTGGAGAACAGATTCGATGGTTGGCAAGATATGCACAATGGATGGCCTCGGGGGATGAGCGTAAAGGAGGGTGGGATTGGGGTATGGGCAAAGAGGAGAAACAGACGAATGTCACCCTCCTAAATCAAAATGAAGGAAATCGAGAGGGGGGCAATGCAGGCAGACAAACGATGGAGGTGGTGGTGAACATCTATGACCATATCAATGGAGCCAGAGTCTGGGTACCACCGCAACGGCATTCCTGATCAGCGCCGCTTTAAGGTCGTAACTGTGCATGTCATGGGTATTAAGTCGTGTGCAGCGGTCATTGATATTACCTTCTTGACCGTAAATTACGGCAGTCACCAACGTCGTCTTCTCAGTTTTCGCGACAGGAGAAGTCCCTTTGAATCGGTATGTGAGATGATAGTCACAGCTGCACAGAAACCACAAGTCTGGTCCCGAAACACCTTAATGTGTGATTCGTTCCTGAAGGATACAGAGGTGGAATTTATATCCGAGAATGGGGTTGCACAACGTGTCAAGCTCATACCAATTCCTACCTAATTCACCTTGTCGTTTTCAAGTCCGTTTTTCAACACAATTTGTGTTCCTCTGCTAAACGGAGGTGCCTCAGTCTTGGAAGCTGAACTGTCCAGCCCCACTACTTCCAGGCAAGAGCAGCGGTGTCGCTAAGACGAAAGGGACGCAATCCGTTTTAGCCAAGATGCTGGTCCCACAAATTCAAGCACCTCGGACACGTCGGGTCCCCGCAACGCTACTGCAATACTCTACTGGCTGCTTACAAGCAGTACATGTAAGTAGACCTTCAGACCTCAAAATGCCCTCCAGCTATGGCCTTGTAACTAATCCATATAGAGGTATAGAATACATGTGCGTGAGTATATGCAAGCAAAATAACCCCCAGCCGAGAACGTTTGTATCAGAAAAACAATCGCATAGGGACCCCTCGACTGCGCCTTGCCTCGGCACGGAGCCCCGGACCCCGGACGCGGCTCACCTTCCAAGATGCGATGGTGTGCCGAGGCTCGCAAATATCTCTGCAGGTACATGGTATTGTAGTTCACCGTGAGCTTCCCAAGTGCTTGCCTGTGACTGGGAGCCTAGATCTCGTCGGGGCCCAGCAGTGCAGCGATTATATACCCCGTCAACGGTCACTCCTACTCAAACCCCGCAATGCCGTTCTACGATAGGACGTGCATTTAGGCTACATATGGCTTTGATCCGAATAGCTTATTGTATTATCATACACAATTTAATTCAGAATGGCACCCGGCTCCACATAGCTATTCTCCTCTTCGAGCATCGCTTTTCACCCAATGTTTGACAGAACTTCTAGCATTTCCTAATATACAATAATAAGTGGCCCCCGCCAGGAATTGCCTATATAACTCGTACATGCTTCACATAAACCATCCAACCGGCACCGGCACTAAGGATGTATGATACAACCGACAATATACAAGAGCAGGTCTGGTCTCGCTACCTCCTCGCCTTGCCCGACTTGCTCGCCCAAGTCGATGGCTTAGCCGCTCCTCCCTTGGGGACTTCCACAACCTCCTCCAGCTTCCGTTGCTCGTCTTCCATCTTTTTCACCAGGTAGTTGTTGATGGCCTGCTTGCCATCTACCATGTCGCCGGCCTGGATAGCTTGGTACTCCTCCAGACCCAGCCGCCGTCGGTCTTCCTCTAGGAATTTCTGTCGATCTTCAGTGACGAGCCACTCCTTGGGGAATTTAGGCTTCTGCTGAATCTTGTGGTGTCGCGTGTCCAACGGGATGTCCTCGAATGTGTCCTTGGGGTCTTTGGCAGCCGCAACCAAGTCATCCACCAGGTTCGACAGGTACCGCTTGTTCTGCGCGGGGTGCGTGTAGCTCTCGCAGCTGATCTTGACAAACTCGGTCTCGGGGTTGTATCGAGGACCAGCCAGCTTCTTCAGCTTCTCGGCCTGCACCGGGGTGAGGCCGAGGTCGTCCGGTGCGAATTGCACAACCACCTTCTTCTCTGCAGGGTGCGTGTCGCCCATATAGGTAGTGTAGCGCCATCGTAGGGCTTGTTTCTCCGTAGGTGGTTCGAATGGCTTTGCCAGCTCTGTAAAAACCCAAATGTTAGCCCCCCCGCCATCTTCGCAATTGAAGGCCTAGGTACAGCCTCGTAGCTGGAAATCTTCCTTACTTGATAAGAGAGGGAGCTCCCAGATCGCAAGACGCTGGTAGTGGCGCATCTCCCGGACCTCTTCCAGTTTCGAGTGTGCCATTTCAGTGATATCATCCTCGTCGAATTCATCGTGTTCGTTGGTGTTAGTTTCCGGATCGTCCTCATCGTACCAGAAACTGCTCTTCTCGGCCCTCGGTCCCTCTTCAATTTCTTTGAGAGTCTGCTCAAACGCCCTCACTTTGGGAATTGAGGAAGGAGCATCATTTCCAACCTTGTGGTGAGTCGACACAAACTCCTCAAAGTCGAGATATCCATTCTCTTTTGCAGCATAATCAAGGATCCGGGAGCCTTGCAGCTTCTCGATGTTGCCCGCATTCAAATCTGCGAAATGAGGATCCACCGCATTCGTAGCTGCAGCTGCCGTAGCCGCGTCCTTCTCCGTCGAGGAAGGTGGTTCTTCGGCCCGTCGAGTTGTGGTGCTGGTGAAGGTTCGTCGGAAGCCGGTCGCGGGGGTTGCGATGAGCTGGGCCCGGGTCACCCTCGGCAGTCTCGCAACTTGCCTACAGCTTAATATGTTCAGCCTTGCGGCATTCGCAGCCGACGCCATGGCGAATTGATTCGTGGTTGTGAAGTTTCAAGCCTCAACACACGCCACGGAGGGTTGTACATCAAAAATTTGGGTGTATGTCCAGGAATTGGGAACGGTGGCATATTTTGCCGAAAATTTTCCAGCTCGGTGAGACCCTCCAGACACACCGTAAATCTGGGCCTCACCGAACGAAGGCGCATACCTCCTAACCTATACCACCAATCAGTGGTCAACATTTACTCACCTCAATACCAAGCAGCATCCAACTCCTCATCATCTCCATAATGACGGCTTCCTCAAAGCAGCTCGAGAGATGTTGTTTAGCAACAGTGGGAGCCACCGTGGGCTTTCCAAAGCTAATCAAGACAGTTTTGGAAAACAAATTCTGGGAACATATACGAGCCCATGGCTTCACTTCCCTCCGCATTCAGTGTGGCCCCGATATGCCATGGGCATCCGAGTATCTCTCCTCCCACAAAGATCAAATCCCCCCCGGCCTAAAGGTCGAGGTATTCGGACTGAGCAAGAATTTGATGCTCGAGGAAATGACACTTTGCAAAGCAGTCGCTGGAAAGTCAGATCAAGGACTAGTAATCTCACACGCCGGTACGCCGTACAAAGCATGATTTGATGTTCTTTTTTTGTTGATTTAATTTGACTAGGAACTGGGACGATCCTCGATGCCTGGAAACTTGGCCTGCCTATAATTGTTGTGCCCAACACTGACCTGTTGGACGATCATCAATCAGAGATGGCCCATTATCTTGCCGACGAAGGCTATGCCACACAAAGTAGCACTGAGTAAGTCTATTTTTCTGAGAGTCTGCTGTAGTGATACAGTAGACCCCATGCCAATTACCACCATCTTCTCACAAGAATGCAGTCTCGAAGACCTTCAAAGTGCGATCGATAAGTCAAATCGCCTTTGGGAGGAGAACAAAAACCGATGGCAGCCTCACAGCACATCTTCGCAAGCTCATGCCCGTATAAGCCTATGGGAAATTTCCCCTAAAGAAGTTCGGAGGGAAGAAAATTCTCAGATGGTTCATGATTAGGATAGGTTTCCTTCGAGCAATTTCTCGCACGTACCCTTGGACCCTGACGATGACATTTTTCAAATTCAACGTTCGGGTAAGGAAAAAGAACATGATATGGGTGGGGAAATACGGCATGCTTTCTAAGTTAATTTACGAACCAAAGCTCAGGTTCAATCATCACCAGTATATCGGAGTCACGGACGGTATGGAAACGAATTTGGGGAATCAATATATTCATTCAATGGCTCAAACAATGCATCTCACGCTCGCTTATGGTAGGTTCTGAACGTTCCAGATCTTTACAGCAGCATCTCCTCCGCCACTCGCCACCTTTCCTCCAGCCACCCAGCATACTCCGTTCACACCGTCCTTGTGGGCATTTGCTGCTTTGATGCGCTTTCCCTGCAGGCTCTTCTCGAGACACCAGACGAAGATATTTGTGTCCAAGCTTCCGCTGGCGGCATACTTGCCAGAGTCGTGCCAAGCAATGGAGGTCACGCGGGCGGTATGAGCCGACCAACGGTCTGCCGCCAGTTCCCACGAGTCCGTCTTATATACGTAAATCTTCCCGACACTGTTTCCAGCAGCGAGGTGTGAACCATCCTTGGAGAAGGATAGAGCTGAGATCGAGCCAGTTGGGTTGGAAATTTCTTTAACTTTCTCGAGGCTTCCAGACGAATCGCTCTTGTAAATGGTCACTGCGTTCTGGTTACCACCAACTGCAACGATGGAACCCGAGGCAGCAATCGAAGTAGCGGTATAGTCGAGGCCACTCTCCTTTAACAGTTTATCGTTCGAGAATACGCTGACTCCAGAAGCTGTAGCAACGTAGATCAGTCCGTTGGACGCGCTAGCATCCGTGGGCTGAGCCGATAGCTGAACAGCATCGCCCAGGAATGTCTTGGCTGACTCGTCGACGATCCTCAACTTGTCATCCCAACCTGCACTATATGTTCTGCCTGGGGCACTGACAAGCCTGGCAATCTTGTTGGTATGTTGTTGTCCATCAACAGTTGTAGCCTTGCCAGTATTGATATCCCAGTGGCACACACGCCCATCGAAGCTGCCTGACCAAACGGTTGTACCCTTGCCATCAGAGCCCTCAGTCAACCCCGTGATACTTTTATAGTGCCCCTGAACAATCTGGGAAGGTTCAGGCTTGCCCTCGTTGAGATAAATCAGCTCACCATCTAGGTTGATGCTAATGATAAGGCCGTCGCTCCGGCCAGGAACAATCACGACTCCAACCTGTTGATCACGCACGCTCACACCATCACCAAACTTCCAGGATTGAATGACAGAGCCGGAGTCGACATCCCAGAGCTTCACGGTCTGATCAGCACTCGCTGTTGCGAACTTCTTGCTATCTTGCGACCATGACACAGAGAAAATACTGCCAGTGTGCTCCCCTTGGCCAATTTCCTTGGTTGGCTGTCCCGTCTTGCCGTCATAAAGCTGGATCTTCTTGTCTGCGCCAACTGTGACGAAATTAGTGCCATCGGGAGAATAGGCGGCTCCCAACACGAAACCAATGTGGAGAGTCGTCTTCTCGTTGAACTTGTAGGGGGCACCATGGTAGAAGACCACGTTGCCATCGTCTCCCACGGTAGTAGCTCGAAAGGGCCGCTGGCTCTTCATTGCCACGGCATTGACCGATTTGGAGTGTCCAATGATTTCTCCGACAGAGTTACCACTATCAGCAGTGATGCACCGGCCAAACTGCTCGCGGCCATCACCAACGGCGATGACGCGCTGCGAGTCACCGTCCCAGGCAATATCGTTCAGACGACCAGAGATAATACCGTATTCGCCTCTGGTGCTCTCGATTGACTCGGGCTCCCAAATGCGGAGCATACCGCTGGCATCACCACTGGCGACCTTGAACCCATTGGGGGCGAAGCGGGCAACGGTTGTTGCAGCTGTGTGGCCGGTATATTCCTTGCTCTCGGCGGGATTATCGATGGATCGAACAAAAATGGACTTTCCGGACTGTTGAGAAGAGGCAAGACAATCAGCTAGGCGGGTCTCGGATATTCAAAAGAAGGGAGGGAGTCATACAGCATAAGCTAGACGCTGGCCTTTGGAATCAGCGGAGAGCTGCGTGGGCTGCCCTCTTGTGGTGGTGGGCACAGCCGCCAGGATGCGGTCAATTGTGATTGATGGCGACGCCATGGTGAGATGCCCCGATGATGCAGAGTAATCAGTTCGATTCTGGAGCGAGAAGACCTAACAGACCAGAGCTGTGAGATGGTTGATCGGTCAGGAGAGCTCGAGCAGAAAGAGAGGTCACGGACGCACCTTCGTACGTGGGGTTCTGCAACGGCGCCATGGTGGGTGCCTTATTACGTAGTGCGACAGCTAACTGGAGGGGTAGTGCAGGAGTTACAGCGGCTGCTGCCTTGTGTCCAATGGATCCAGGCGACGGTTCTTCTATCCATGCCAATGAGTAATGTAGAGAAGGTTAGGAGCCTGGAGCTGCCCACCTCAGCACAAACACACCTGCAACAAGCTAAGAGCCAGTGTGCATAGTTGTCGCCTGGATCTCAAACGGGCCCTTGGCGTTGGTTTCAAACCGTAACTCACATGCCTGGCTTAGAGCAAGTCCTCGCTCATCACCAACCAAAGCTGGATGGACACCCGAGATCGAGAGGCCTACCCTGCACCACAGATCCATCCATCGGTGATCAAGGAAGCACTGGTCCATTCAGAGTTTTTGATAGCTCGGGCCGTTCCAGTAGCTCAAATGTCGGAACCATTCTCGTTTAGAAGGCAACACTAAAATAATTCAAATAAATGTTTCTGAGTTCATAGTGCTATCGCTCTCAATACGAGTTTGGTTTCTTAACTTTTTCTCTCCTTGCCTGTTTTGACCAGCCTGTTTCGGCTACGGTTGTCTCTGAAGCCACTGACAGGCCAAATAAAGAAAAGAAACCAAACAAAGACAATGTCTTCCACGCATTGGATTTATGATCAATCTGCGGCTTTGGATTGGCTCGAAAAACAATTCAAGAGGCTGGAGTCCGATGTACGTAGGGACCTCTGGAAAGTATTGCCGAAGAGAGAAGCTCTCTGCCTGCCCGTGCTGTCCTTTGAGCCATGACTGATAGTGCCCGCACCAACTGGCGGACCTATTTGGCTAACCCGGCATTTGTATTAGTTAGTGCGAAGCCATGTCTTGATTGTACGCCTCTGAGCAGTATCCGGCATCCAGACACAGTCCCTAGGGTTTACCCAACTTGATGAGACGACATGACAGACCTGAGGAGAACCGGGTAGCACAGCGGAGGAGATGGCGCCGTGTTGCATGATACTTATACGAGTGTGATGTAGCATTCGGGTAGGGGCACGCAGGCGAGCGGCGGTAGAGTTTCTGGGCACATGTATTATTACCTTCATCTCGTGTTATTAGACACAAGTCGTAGTTTAAATCGGCGCCAAGAAACCCCTTTCCCAATTCAGAGACATACACGAAATTTAACGGATGCATCCCGCCTCCCCCTTGGCTGCCGTCCATTTGACCCAATACTTTGTGTAGTAGTGGAAGGTATAATTCCTTTTTTGTGAAACTGCCAACCGCGAGGGCAGATGCTGATCCGGCAAAAGGGCTCCATACTGCAACAACACGAGCGGCCTCATAGATAAGTGTGACTATTACATAGCAGAGAGCAACAAAGGAGAGGAAGCGACTTTTTGTGGTTTTTGAGAGAGCCAGGTGCCGGCACCAGCTGTTTGATGCTGCTGTTATGCACCACTCGCTCCCGCAGCTGAGATATGCCATGTACAACGCATCGAGCTCACTGATACGGCGAGAGCACCGTTACCCCGGTAGATGCCGTGTGATACCAATCAACAGCAGAGGTTTCTTTTCCTGCCGGGCCTAGAATGTTTGTTTGCCGTTCTTGGCTCTGAAATTCCTCCGAAATTAAAAACAACAAGTCGTGTCTCGACCTCCCCCAGGATGTCCCACTCCCCAGATTTCACGTCTCTCCCTTGACTGCATAAAATCCCTTCATTCCTCCCTCTTTAACTTTCCTGCCCTGCCCACTCGTTCTTGTGACTATTTTCGACGCTTCAGACTCATAATAACAATCGTTACTACACTACACCACTCTTTCTCAGCCACCATGAAGTTCCTCGTCCCCCTCTCTCTCTTCGCTGTTGCAGTGACTGCTCAGACCACCGCCACCAAGTCTGGCTGCGACGCCGACTTCATCCTCACTCGCTGTCTCGAGACCGAGGGCCCCAG